ACACAGCAGGGGCCGCCCCTGGCCCGCGCCTGCCATACCTGTTCTGTAGGGGGTGCTTGCCCAGGTTCTCTGCCAGAAGCAGCTCTTGCTGCTGAGCCCTCCGCCGCCGCCGCTCCTCTTGCCTCCGCTGGGCAAGAAGGAACAGTCCCAAGGAGCCCCCCAGCCACCCCAGCAGGGAGCCTGCAGCCCCCAGCCACCCCTACCCCATGACATGGATCCCACAGCAGGGCTGCCCAGGCACTGCTGCCAGGCCCAGCCTGCAGGAAGAGCACCCACCTGCTCTCCTGTAGCCATCCTGCCCAGCACAGGCTCTCCCCTGGCTGCCCCTGGCTCTTAAGTGCCCACAGCCGGGCGGGACGAAGCAGCCGTCCCAGGCAGGTGGTGGGGCAGGAAGATGGTGTGCCGGGGAGGGGGTGCCGGGCCTGCCCCTCCTGGGAAGCAGGGAGATTGGTGCGATCCCCCACCAGGGCAGGGAGCTGAGGGATGAGGGCAGGGCACCAGGGTGGGATGGGATCAGGATAGGAGACAGGATGGGGTAAGGTGGGGACAGTGTGGGGTGGGATCAAGGAAAGTGTGTTATGAGGCAGGGCAGGATAGTACACAGATAGGGTGGGATAGCATCAGGATGGGGCATGGGGATGGGTAGGATGGGATCAAGGTAGGATGGGATGGGAACAACATGGAACAGGAATGGGATGTGATGGGGAGAGTGCGGGATGTGATGAGAATGGAATGGGATCAGAATTGGGTGGGGTGGGGACTGGGTGGGATGGGAATGGAGTGAGATGAGGTGGGAAGAGGACATGATGATGAGGGGATGGGTTCAGGATGGGATGGGGGACAGGAGTGGCACATGGACAGGGTAGAACATGGAGAGGGTGGGACGGGGACAGGATGGGATGGGGAGAGCCTGTAGAGTGGAGGAGATGGGATCAGGACGAGATGGGATCCGGATCAGGAGGAGATGGGACAGGGAGAGGGGGTGGGATGAGGATGGGACGTGATGGGCACCAGGACGGGATAGTGTGAG